GCCACAGGAAGCTTAGTGCTGAACTTAACAAAACCATTTAGCTCTTCCAGCGGGTTAGGAGGCTTGTACAATTTGAGTTCAGAAGACGTACCCACTGCTTTGTTAAAATAAATAAATCTTTTTATTTCCTTCTTTATTTATTGAATATACAAATGTACAGTGAACATTCAAGAAGGGGGGTCGCAGCCATACAAATGCTACGTGGGAAGACGGGCGACGGTGGAGTGGTTCAAACCCTGGACTCCCAGGTCACAAGCTGGTGACCTAAGCATTTGGCCACCACCACAAGAGAAGTCTGAACATAATACTGGGTATATTTTAGGATCTTAAAAATAAAATAAAGCTGAAATCTCGCCAGGGATGAGCCTGAACTTGCATATATCTCGGTTACTACAGCCACCGATTGGAATCGACTTCGTAGGAGAACGCCTGTATGGAACTTACGTATCCGGTTCATAATAAATCCAGAATTAATTTCTAAGTTCATTTAAGTCACCAGAAATTGGTTTACAACAATCAAGAAATCATGAACTGCATTAAGACAAGTGTTTTAGCCACAGGAATCACTGGCCACTAACACGCATCCGATCGGATCTTACAAAAGATGGGAATGACAGTTTATTCATACACGTATTACGGACAGTAGCAAATTTCTAGCAATAAGCTGAGTCAATCCATTCATAAATGTCGTTGTTTGATCATTGCAGAATCCCCAGGTTTAGATCATCCTATACTGAACCGGTTAATCGGAATGTGATTTCATGCTTTCTGTGGACAATATTATAACAACATGATAATAAAATGTCTACAGCAACCTTTTTTCACAAACAGTAACAACATTTGACGATCTTCAATCAAGTGAGTATTCATCCTAATTGGCCAACTGAAATTGGCATACATCAGATTTGTTCAGTTCCACTTATTTTGATTGATTGATTAGAACTGACCATCCTTCAGACTTCCAGTCAACCATACACTCATAATTACTAGACTCGAGTTTCAATCTTATTAGAGCTCACCAGTTGTGCATATTCACCGTCCCGTTCAGGGATTTGAACTCCGGACCCCATCGTATGGAAGGCGTGTGTCACCACTGTGCCAACCAGCTCATGCGAACAGTAAACTCATGAGTATTTACTACTTCAACAACCAACCCGGTCAGTGACACAACTATTGGAAGCTGATGCACACTACACAATGTTTTATGTATGCTCAACCCGAATCCGTTCACTTTAAGGAAGAACTCCTAAGTAGGGGATCGGAGAAAAAGAGTTTATTTCGATAAATGCAGGAATATATTACCAGTGACGTTATAATTCAATTTATCGATTACAGTTTGTCGTAGACAGTGACTTTGTAACGATGTCGGAGTTTTTACAACACAGAGGCAACTCAGCTTTTATACTAATTAATTCTTCCAATGTGATCGGTTTTGGATGCGGTTCAATTATGGAGGTACCCAACAAATGTATGAAACGCGCCAGTTGTTCCAGAATCTTCTCGATCATTTTCTGCAGACTTGTGCTAACGTTTGTCACGGACTTGATGAATACATCTGTCAAAGTTGGTTGATCGTCCGGATAAGTGTCTTTGGTCAACTGGCGCATTTGTTCAGTAATCTGGAAGGATGTGTTTGTTGGTAAACTGTTAACGGATAAAAGTGCAGTGATATTTAGGCTACTTAAAATCATCAAGTAGTAGAAACAGGTGATAAAGTCTACATTCACTAAATTCTTAAAACCCTAATGGGAGGTTTAAAAGTTGAAATAACAGTGCTACCTTTGTTCTTTCAACTATTTTGCCAAAGACCATAAAATTAAATTTTGACCTTTGTATCATGAGTTAATGGGAGGGAGTGACAACAATCAAACATAAAAACTAGGAACTATAAATACATTTTGGTGTATTCTATGTGTAAAGTATAAGGCATTATAGAAGAACAAGGTAGTGCTGCCTTATCTATCTCTCTTGAAGAGTCGACCAACGACTATACGTCTACTACCCTAGTTCTGAAGCTTGGTTGTGAGAAGGTAACTATGGAGAATGAATTCTCCTAGATGAGGATCACTAATGGCGTTAGTTCAGCTAAGGAGATACGCGCTTGCACATCTGATGTTGGAGCGATGCATACAAAATTGAAACATCTTTGGTGCTAGAATAACGGTTCTTCTAGTTCGAGAGGCCACTTATGTTGTGATACTATGAAGCCAGATCTGCTTCACTGTTGCAAAATTCTGAGCTGGTAGGTGGAAGACATCTATCGACTGAGGATTTTCGACTGTCACTGTTTACATAGAAGGGAACAAATGGGTTAACAA